GAGGGTAAGGCAATCTCTTGGGCTGGCCCTGAAGGGGAGTTCCAAAGGGAGAGTGATGCTCCTTAGGAGAGACTGAGCAGGCCTTGTTTTGATAGTTGGGAGTGTAAAGCTCCTCCTTCTCCCCAAGCTCCAGGAGCAAACTCTCCTCACTCCAAAGTGGGGGCTCAGCTGACATTTGCAATCTTCAAAGCCCAGTCAATCGCACTGGTTGACTTGCTGTCAGTTCTGAGTTTTCCAATTCTAGCAGACTTTGAAATAATGGATCAGATTTTGGCTCCCTGCAGTGCTGATGCAAATGGAGGAAAGAAGCTCTGTGGATCAAACAGTGGCTCCTATGATCTGACACACACACATAACAAAAAAAAAAAATGCTTTTTTTACAAAACTGCAAAAGCCCTTCCTTAGCTTGCTCAAGTCTTCTGCAGCAGCTAGAGCAGCTTTCCACAACCTGGTGCCCTCCAAATATTTTATGCTACAAATCCCACCAGCCTCAACCAGCCTAATCACAGAGGCACAACCTAGAGTCCAAAACATCTAAAGGGCACTGGGTTGACAAAAGTGTCATCTCTCTTGATGAATGCAAAGAAAAGTGAACTCTTTATTACTGTGTTTGCAATTGTTCGATATAAAACCTATTTTGGGGGGGGAAACTACTTTTGACATTTTAATGGACATTTATTGTTTGTTTACAGATAGTTGCCTTGGTGATATTATCTTGTGTCAATTGCAATAGTAATTGCATCACCACCCTGTTCATTGTTTTATTGTTTTGGCTCCCACCTGTCTGTCCATTCTCAAAAGCAAGGGCTGGCGGTCTGGTTGGATGGCCTCCTTTGCCCACTTGCTTGCTTACACCAAGGCTGCCTCAGCTCCTGGCAACCAGCACCCCCTGGCCAGCCCCAGAGGCACTATTCGCCTGTGGAGCTTGTAGTCAGTGTTGCAACAAACAGCTGTGCAAGCCTTTGTGAGGCAGAGATGTGAGAGGGCATCAGAGGAGGGAGGGAAGTAAAGAGGGACAGATGCCAGGGTTGCCTGCGGCATCCCTGACCATCATTCAAGGCACCTTAGGGTGCCACGGCACACTGGTTGGAAACCACTGCCATAATGAGAAGCCCACAAGGAAGACCCGAACACAAGAGCATTCTCCCCTCCTGTGGTTTCCAGCAACTGGCACTACAGCCTCAGTGTGCTTAGTCTGACAAACAGGAGTCCCCATAAGATCCTGCCATGCCAACAGGGCATGAGGCAGGATGCTCAGGGCACTTCCCCCCAGGTCTGAGAAACCAAATGGCTCCCACAGTACTTCACTGGTTCAGCTGAGCAAGGAGTACTCCAGGTGGGTGGCAGGAGGGGCTGAGAATGAAGGAGTGTCTGTCTTCAGGCCAGAGGGTTGGCCCTGTAAGAATCCAAAATTATCCACATGGAATCAGATTGCCTGGGAGAGACTGGAAAGGGCTCAGTCTGCTCTCAGCCCTTGTTGGAGCAAGTGGCTCCCTTTGAGCTCTCCGTGGTCCTGAAACGCCTACCTTCAGGAAGAGTCCTGGGGAAGAAACACATCGGAAGGCTGGTCTGAGATGCTTCTTGCTGCCTGAAGAGCAGGACAAAATGCCCCACCCACCCCCATCAGACATCCCATGTATAGAAATGAAGTGGACTGGCCCTTGAATCCTTACTTCAACAGCATCCTCCACGGACTGCACAGCAAGCAAAGCTCTGCCCAGCATCAGCCTCCCCAGGCACCTGTCTCCCTCTGCCTAATGGCAGAGCTGGCTCTGGTTCCCAGTCATGATTCAGGCCTTGAGACTATCGCCCCTTGCCAGGCCTATGCAGAGAGACTTACCCAAATTCAGTTTGTTTTATGGGTTAGGGTTATTTATCCAGCAAGCCTCACTGATGGGTGCAACATTTTAATACTGTCACATTTTTAGCAGTTTCTGCTAAAACAAAACATCCAAGCACAGAAGAAGGAGAATAAATTGATTGTTCTTCAGCTACTGCTAAAACAAACTCTACAGCGTTTTCCTCTGTAGTGGAGTATAGTGTCCCTGATGGGAAGAGATTTAATCTCTGCCAGAGACACAATGCAGCTCAGTTCTAGAAACACATGTTCCCCTGCAACCTCCGGGCAAGAGGGAAAGAAAGTAGCTCGACAAAAGAGGAGGCTGTCTAAAATATGCGACCTGCTGCCCTTGCTTGCCACTGTTGGAAAAGCAACCAAAGTAATAGTGGCAAATCAAAGCCTCCATCATACTGCATTGCAGAAAGGGAATATGCGAAAGCAATAAAATCCACTTGAAGAGCCTTTTGGAAAAGGGAAGCTTAAACATATAACTCATTATGAAAGGTCTCTTGGGAGATGAATACAGATGCTCTTAAATTAAGTGTAGCCGAAAAGAACTTTTTAAAGAAAATATATTGGATGCTGAAACCACAATCCAAAACCATTGCGGTTTGTTGTGTGAAACTGCAGTGCAAGGGTTCCTCCTGGTCCCTTAACTGAGGTCTACCTTTCCAGGTACTGAAAGAATTGCTCGACATCAGTGCCAGTTTCGGAAGCCGGAGTCAGTACCCTGAGTTGTTGTTGTTGGTGTATAAAACCACAATTCTGCTGAGAAGCTGGATTTTATACATCCAACCACGTCAAGCAAGGGTAAGGAAACAGTGGAGATACAAACCAGAAGGACCCATTTGAGGTTATTAGTTTGAAGACCAGTTTTTGAGTCCATGGTGTTTGTGCAGTCCAGTGTGGTGTAGTGGTTAGAGTCAGGCTAGGACCTGGGAGACCAAGGTTCAAATCCCCACTTGGCCATGAGGCTTACTGGGTGACCTCATCGTCCTCAGAGGGCTGTTGTGGGGATTAAATGGGGGGGGACCACATATACCAGCTTGAGCTCTTGGGAGGAAGAAGGTGAGATATAAATGCAATATATAGGAAATGAAATGAATGAAAAACCAAAATGGAAAGTCCAGGAGGTACAACTTAGGCTGACCTGGCGCCCTTCAGATGTTTTGTACTACAACTCTCATCAGCCCCAGCCAGCAACTTGGAAGGCACAAAGTTGGTGAAGGCTGATCTAAAGCAACGGCAGGCAGAGAAATACCACACTGTCCCTCAAACCCATTCCAATTGAAAGAAGAGAAGAGCTCAGGGACAGGGACAACCCAATAACCCTTTTCTGAATTGCAGGACCCTTTCCCTTCAATTCATGGCAGCCCATAAAGACTGACTGCTAGCTCAGATCCTTATACTTTATGAAGATAAGAAGCAGCCTGCTCCATATCCAAATCAGCTACTGGGGATGTTTCCTCAAGCAGAGATGCTACAGATAAACCCCAAGACTTTTGGGGAGCAAATTAAGTAGAGGCCTGAATCTTTTACTGTGCCCTGCATGTTTCTGGGTAGGAAATAAATTTGGGGGGGAGGGGGATGAGCAGCAGGAGTGATCTGAGTCACTAGGTAAGGTATTAATTTGAGGGAATAATTAATTTAAGATGACCTAATTTAGAGATGATTTAGGAGGGAATCTGCAAACCTCAGAGGCTACCATGTACCAAGCCGAACCATTGATCCATCTAGCTCAGTATTACCTAAACTGACTGGCAGCAGCTCTCCAGAGTTTCAGGCAAAGGACATTCCCAGCCCTATTTAGAGATGCCATCAGGGATTGAACTTGGGACCTTCTATAGGCAAATCAGGCACCCCGCCACTGACCTATTTGCAACAGGATCTTTTGGGAAATTAATGGGGGTATACAAATGAAAGAGGAATTGGGGTGAGGTATTCTGGGCTGGGCTGCAAATTAAATAAAGGGTTGATTTGGAATTTATCTGAAGGGGAAATCAGTTAATTTGCCTTCTGTGGCATTCTAGATCCACATCTGTTCATATGAACCGGGATGGGCAGATTTCATACAAATATGCATCTCCAGTCCCATGCCCCAAATCTTTTAGGCCCCTAGCAACATCCCCGAATGTAGAATCATCACCCCAGACCTATGCCCATTCTCCATGCTATAAATCTCTGTAATGTTGTCACTATAAGCAAAGCAGTTTGGCCGCCTGACAAACTCACAAAAAAATTGCAAATACTTCAGTGAACTAATTACTGATTTTGCAGCATACTGTGCTTGTCATGCTCACCCTGAAAAGGTGACCCAAAATAGGCAAGACTGACTGTTATATTTATAGAGGACTGGCCAAAGTAGGTGAAAGAGAACGCAAGCGTTTGAGTTTCACATAATTCTTCATAGGGAATGTAGCAATCTTTCAAGTACACACAGAGCACTGCTGAGTTTCACAAGTAACTGGAAAACAGTTGCCTTGCCAGGTCTGATAATGGCAAAAGCTGGAAAACCTGAATTGATAGCAGGCTGCTTGCAAAGCTAGCCTTAAAAGTGCAAAAAGTGCAAATGTTTTCCAGTAGCTTGGAACCCACCAAGCTGACTCTAGTGAGTTCACTTTCCATTCCACCAAGGGAAGAATTCTTTGAAGACTGAAAGCTTGCATACCTCTACCCTAATCTGCCCATTTCAGTTTTTCCAAGGTTTCTTATTTTTCCAGCTTGCCACTTTTCTTCGCGAGTGTGATTTTAAAAAGTCCTCATCAGAATTCATCAACATTACAGGACGTTTCTCCTAAATATATCTACATAAATATATACATTTTGCATGTAATTTGCACATTTTTGCAAACTCATTTAGTGGATTTTTGGAACGTTATTTTCACATATACGCACAATTTCCCCCCAATGTATAAATTTTCCTATGCATTTTTTGTGTGGACAGAGAACCCAGCTTTTGCAATCCAAATATCAACCGATAGATGTGTTTCTATCTGCATGTTGGTTCCACAACTGAAAATCAGGTAAGGTTCACACTACAATCCAAACTGAGCTGAACTGAATTTCTCCACCCATATCAGCCTGAGCTGGTTCAAATATTTTGCCTTTACTCCCTGCCTCTTCAGATTGTAATAACGGAGGGGACTGGGTGTCTGACCACGATGTGTCTAGATCAGTGGTAGAGCATCTGCTTTGCATGCAGAAGTTTCCAGGGTTCAATCTCCAGTGGCATCTATAGATACAGCTGGGGGGTGGAAGTCCCTGCCTGAAACCCTGGAGAACCACTGCTGCGAGTCAGTGTAGACAACACTAAGCTAGATGGACTGTTGGTCTATGTGAGCTGTGCCAGTGTAATGCATGCACCCAGAAACAACCTATTCTCACATCAGTGGGGGACCAAGAAGCTTTAGGATCACGGGTCCAGAATCACTATTTTAAAAGAACCCTTTCCCAAAAAGTGTAGCACCCAGCTTCTCTGCAATCCCCCTGCAGATTTAACAGTGGTCCAAAGTCATCTCAAGCTTTGAGCATCAACCGTCTCCATCATCAAGATTACCCACCAGCAGCCCCTAACTGCCCCGTCTTGCCACAACATCTGGTCACCCCCGCTGACCTTGGTGTGTGACAGTAACCCCATGGTGTCCAGGCCACCGTTTCCCTGGTAACGAGAGCCCGGAAATCCCTTTTTGTCATGAAACACTTTGGACGGGAGGACTCTCATGCGTCTACCAGACTGCAGCAGAATTGTAAGTCTAAAATAAAAAGTTTGTCTCTCTCTCTCTCCCTCTCCCTCTTTAACCGGGTCACATTTGCAAAAGCCAGTTGTTTTCTTTGCTTCCTTTTCTCCTTGCTCCTAGAGGATGCCAGCAAACCTTTGCAGATGCAGTGTGCTACAATTCATTGCAGAATTAAGTGGTTTGAGTAAAAAAATCATAAAGGCATTCTCTCTCTCTCTCTCTCTCACACACACACACACACACACAGCCTTCTGAGTCCAAGAAAAGACCAATTTGCCACTTACCCAAGACAGCTCATCTTCCGATTCTGTCGTTCTTCTCTCGCATCCTTGAATGGGAGACTAAAAATGTGCACTTTTCCAGTGTGTGCAAACCATATGGCAGTGTTGGAGGGGGGGGTTGGAGAGACACACAAACAAGAGAAGCACGTGCTCAGCCCCTCGCCTCCCCGCCCCAGCCAAAGGGATAAAGAAAATGTCAGCAAATTAAAATCAGATAGAGCTTAATTCTGGATAAATAGGTTAGAAATCCATGGGAGCCAGAAAAAAAGAATAAAACAAATAAATAAGCAAACAAATAATAATGATTAAAGGGGAAGGGGGGGAACGAGTCTAGTGAAGAATGTGGTGGGGGGGCAGATGCAGGGGGTCTTTGATCCAGCCAGAGGATTTAGCATGTGTCGGATGTAGGGAGTCAGGGAGGATGCTACAAGCAAAATGCTATGCAAGGAAGATATCAATCGCTCCTGCAAAAGAGGAGGGTGGTGTACTGTATATAACACAAGAGGCTGTCCGGAAGAGTAGCAGTTCTCCCACCCCGCTCCCCTTGGTGGTGGAAATCAGCAATGAAGGAAGATCCAATCAGGCAGCTACAGAAGGTTCTTGTCTCTCCTTGGAATGTCAGAGATGCATTGCTGGGCATGGGAGACTACGGCCGCAGTCAAGGGTGCACATGGAGGGAGATGGGGAATGATTAACAATCTCACACCACACATGCATTAACACACACAGGCACTCTCCCTCCCCCAAAGCAAAAGCAGCAGGAAAGTTGTCTCAATCCCACAGCACAAGTGACAGAGCTGAGCATGATATCAGAGCCCAACGCTGGAATCCTCTCTGCGTGGTGTCAGTGCTCAGCCCTGGAAGGTTCCAAGTGAGAACAATAGCAGCAAAGTCTCTGCCACGGTCTCATTGTCTGACCTTGAGCAAGATTCTCTTTCTCTCTCTTGCTTGCTCTCTTTTCGACTCAGTTTTCCCATATGGGTAATGGGGCCACAGAGGCCCACCTCATAGGGAAGTTTTGAGAGCTCTAAAGCTTTTAAAGCAGTACTTAAACAAAAAAAGAAGCAACATAGTAAAGATAATTGCAGTTTTCTGTTTTCCACCCACCCACCACCCACCCTCCCAATCCATTTTTCCTTTTGTGTTGTGTCTTTTAGTTTGTACACATGAGGGCAGGGGACTGTCTTATCATTGATGTAAGCCGCTCTGGGAGTTGTTTCAGGATGAACAGCAAGAGAAAAATATTGTAAATAGATACATGATAATAATGTGTCAAAGAAGGTAAAATTATGGCATTGGCACTCTCATGCAGCAAGAGGCAACAAGATTCTCTGACCCACGAAGTACCTGCGTATGAACTTTATTAGAAAATGCCCAGAAACCTAGAAATTCTTTTTAAAAAATCAAGATGGAGGAAGCCAGATTTTCAGTTAGAGTTGGAAATATTAAGCCCATTTCTGAGCACCGCAGTTTAAGAAGGATGTTGACAAGCTGGGCATGTGCAGAGGAAAGTGGCCAAGATGATCAAGGATTTGGAAACAAAGGCTATATTGAGCTACAGTTGTGGGAGTTGGGTCCGTTTAGCCTGGAGAAGAGAAGACTGAGAGGTGATGTGATAGTCACCTTCAGATATGAAAAGATGGAGCAAGTTTGTTTTTAGCTGCTCCAGAGGGTAGAACCCAAACCAAGTGACCAAGAAGGAGATTCCAATTAAACATTAGGAAGACTTTTCTGATGGTAAGAGCTGGTCGACAGTGGAACGGACTCCCTGAGAAGGTGGTGGACTCTCCTTCATTGGAGGTTTTTAAGCAGAGGTTTAGATGGTCATCTGTCAGAGCTTCCTGAGCTGCGATTCCTGCATTGCAGGGGGTTGATGGGACCTTTGGTTCCCTTCTAGGATTCTAGATTTCAGTGTTGCTAGCTTAGACTAATGGAGAGGAGACTGTTGCCCAGATGAAGTCGCCTTCCCAGCCTGCACTATGTCTTCCCCTCTCGTATCCCCAGGGATTATTCCGCAGTGGGGCACTGTCTGCACGTGAGGCTCATAGCAGGGATTAGAGACCCTGGGAGCTCCTGGTCATTAAGCAATCAGGTCTCCATCTGGCCCTGTTTTCCCAACTCCTGCTTGTAATCTGTGGAACCAGGAGAAATTGCAATATCCAGGAAAAACACTCACAAAGGGTTAGGCAAAGTGGGATGCCAACTAACCACCCAAGCTGAGCTTAAGACAAACCTGATTCCATTTGCCAACATTCTTCCCAGTCTCTTGAGTACAATCCTGGATATTACGGCATCTCAAACCTGCCACATTCTGTTCTTTGTTTCCCACCCCCAGCAATGTTATCTGGGCTTAATTGCAATTTTAAAAATACTTGAATAAACCAATGCAAATGCCATCATCCCACAGTCTCAAGGAGAGGGGTGGGAGTGCTTAAGTGCAGAGTACACAGGTAGGAATTGGGAAGAAATTTGGTTTGGTTCACCATTTAATGCCAACACACCTAATATGTGAACTGAAATACAGTGATCCTTTTGACTTTTGCATTTGCTCTGAAATCAGCGATGCAGTTCTCCAACCAAACAGTGTAGGCAACCAGATGCCTGTGAAAAGTTCCCAAGCAATAAAAAGGTAAAGGACCCCTGACAGTTAAGTCCAGTCGCGAACAACTATGGGATTGCGGCGCTCATCTCAACTTTACTGGCCGAGGGACCCGGCGTTTGTCCGGGTCATATACCCAAGCACAAAAAGCAACCAGTTTCCAGGATCTGGCATTTGGAAGCATTGCTGCCTCTGACATTGGAGGCACTGGCGGAGGAAGAGGGGTGCGGAGGGAGCCCACCACCCCCGGCAGCGCGATCCCGGTAGGGTGCCATCGCAGCCGCCCCCTCGCCCACACTGGGCGCCACACCCCTGCAGGTAGCGTGCCCCGCCCCCAGGACATGCGCCAGCCCCGCCCCCGCCTGCTCTCCGCCCCCTGGTGCCGGAGCATGAAGCTCCGCCACTGGTTAGAGGTACAACACAGCCATCAGGGATAGCCATTGAAGAAATCAGGTGTGCTGGGGCACTCAGAGCCCTTTGTGCCACTCATCTCACATGCCTATGCTGCATGAAGGTTATCAACAAGGGCAGGGAGGATAGCATAGAAAAGGTGTCCAAAACTAAGTACCTGATATTGTCTATAAGGAGATGGTGCGAGTCCTTGGTGAGGATCATGGGGAGGGCGTAAGCTAAGTAATCAACCTTCCTCTCAGCTGCATATTGCTTTAAGATGGTGAACATCTTCTCTTTCACCTCTGGTTGGTCACCCAGGATCTCTTGCACCTGCACAAAGGACAGAGCAAAGGGGGAAATGGTGGAGGTTGCAGTTTAAATTTGTTATGCAAGATCGTAAACCACTTTGCTGTTGTTTTTGGAAAAATGAAACTGGTGTTTTTTACACAAAATTAAAGAGATAAACATTCCACCCACTACCTCCAAAAGGTCTCCAGACCTAGAAACAACAAACTTTTCAAGGTAGCAAATTCCTTTCCTCTGTATTCTTGTTTTAGGTACCTGGAGTCTTTATTCCTAGTGTTATTCTCTGTGGAGAAAACGGGACCTGTCATGGTAACTATGACAGGCCTAGAATGCTTTGCTATAGAGGCTCAACGTTAAAAAGGGGGAGAGAGCAGAAAGGCAATCCCAGCCCATTATGGGGAGATGGGATATTGTGCTTTTGACCACCTAATCTATATTTTCAAGCTGAGAATAAAAAGTTTATAAGGTCACACTTGGGACAACTGCATGGCGAAGGGTCTGCTCCAGTGATGGCTGCAATATGGTGGGCAAATTATGGTGCTCACCAGAGGAGGGCAGCAGAGAACCCTCAAAGCATTTTAAAAACAAAACTCCACAATGCGCACCCCACATGATCCCGACTCCAGTACCAGGTGTGTCCTTTTATAGTCTGCAATAATTGCAGATTGTTATCACCTTCCCCGACCCAGGACCTCCTCACAAACTCCACTCCTCATTTCCCCTGTTCTGCACTCTCATCAGAGGCTAGAATGTGCTCCTGAATTACAGTCATGTCTTTTGCGTGCCTTAATAGAGGATGGAGAGATATATATTTGGTATTTGCATGGCTGGGACAACGTGCAAGGAGCATGTGCAAAAGGAAGGGTTGCTCTACTCACTGTGGCCTCTGGCTCCACCCACCACTGGCAAATGCCAGCC